ACAAACATGTCCTTTTTTCTATATTATCTTTCATTTTTTTTAAAGAATATATACATTATACGTTATACTATGAAAGCCGAAGGCTCAAGTGAGCTTTTCTGATCAAAATTTGTCCGTTGTCTGTCGTTGTCGTTGTTGTCGTTAACTTTTCACATTTTCATCTTCTTCTCAAGAACCAATGGGCCAATTCAACCAAACTTTGCCACAAAGTATCCTTGGGTAAAGGTGATTCAAGTTTGTTCAAATGAAGGGCAACACCCCATTCCAAGGGGAGATGATTATGATTTATTGAAAAATTAATGGCATTTTTGAAAAATCTTCACAAGAACCAATGGGCCAGGTAAAATGAAACTCATGTGGAATCATCTTCAGATAGTGCAGATTCAAGTTTGTTCAAATCATGACCCCCAGAGGTAGGGTGGGGCCACAATGGGGTATCAAATTTTAACATAGGAATACATAGGAACAATCTTTAATTATAAATCTTCTTTTCAAGATTCACTGGGCCAGTACAGGTGAATTTTATGTAGAATTATCCTTTGGTATGGAAGATTCAAGTTTGTTCAAATCATGACCCCCCTTTGTAGGTTGGGGCCACAGTGAGGTATTCAATATTTAACATAGGAATACATAGAAAAAATCTTTTAAAATCTTCTTCTCCAGAACCATTGGGTCAGGAAAGATGAAACTCATGCAGAAGTATCCTCTGAACGGGAAGATTTAATTTTGTTCAGATCATGACCCTCGGGGGTAGGGTGGGACTACAATGGGGTATCAAAGTTTAACATAGGAATACATAGGAAAAGTCACAAAGCCATCAATGAGGAATGATCATTAATATAAAATAATTTTAAAAAGGTAATGAAGATTTGAAATTCAAGAAAATAGAGGAGCAATAAAGTGGATTATAACAAAGGAATATAAAGGTTATATCAATAAAAAAAATCAGCTTGTAAACAACAACAAACCATAAAGTGCCATATTAATTCAAAAGCATTCTAATTTAGGAAATGCAGATTTGAGTCTGTTCGAATACTCCCCCCCCCTTTCCCCGGAACCCACTTTTATGATATATTGAAACTTTTCAATACATAGCTAATTTCTGCTTTTACTTAGCCAGTTGCTCAGGTGAGCGATGTGGCTCCTGGGCCTCTTGTTTCTTAAAGATTGTGAAGATGTTTTTATAAGGAGGAATTTCGATAAGGCTGTTTTCGGACCCACAAGAAATATTATGAAATCCTAACAAGTTTTATATAAACGTCTTCATCTTCCTAAAAATAAAAATAATTTATACTGCATATTTTTCGCCATGGGATGCTTGAATATTTAAGTATGCCCCCTTCCAATATTTTTTGAGCAGTCTTTTTGAAAATGGGATGGATAAAAGAGTTTCTTAAACGTCATAATCATACGCGAAATGGGATAAATGCATGTCAATTAAGACATCAAATAACTAATTTAAGCATTTTGATTTACAGAAAAATAAAGAATTTTTATTTTATTTGAATGCCTTTTATTGTGAAATAATTTTCTTCAGCTTTAAGGATATACACAACGTACCTTACCAACTGATAATTTTTTGAGATATTCTTAGTATAAAATTATAGTGTCATCAGATGTTCATAGACAAAAAATCAACATACATTACCATTAGTTTTTGAAAGATATTAATTGATGAAAATTTTTAAAAATAATTCAAATAAAAATTCATTAAAAATACAAAATATATATTCTAGATGTTTCTTCTATCCAAATTGTTATAGAAGATGTGAGCAACACCTAATATAACACATAGTTCCTTCAAGATTTGGAACTCTTCAACAAAAAAGTGACAAAAAAATTCAAGCTATGTTGCGTCTGACTATTTATTAGAAGATTTATTAGAGGATGGATTCAACCTATAAATCATATACCCTGAACAAAATCTCTAAGCATTCATTTTAAAAGATTAATTTATTACAAAAAATTAGTCTTCTCAACAACAGTTGAAAAGAAAATCGAATATTGTCGATGAAAACCAATGTTCCATGAAGGATATGTTGATAACGAACAGTATTCAATCTCAAAGTCCACAAAACAATACAAAATAAGAGCCAAGCAAACACAGACCTCCGAAACATCAGAGATGGGATCAGGTGCCATGGAGGAGTGAGCATCCCCTGCCGACCGGTCACACGTATAAAAACAATAAATCTGGCCTTTATCTTTCAAACAACCTCGGAGGTTACCATTCATGAAAACGCGGACTTTATTTCTTAATTAAACTTAGAACTCAGTAGACAAAATTCCTGAGGGTTGATTAGTAAAAGACTAAATGCAATTAAAATATCCATCTTTGCCATAAGGTAAGGTCTGCACAACAGGAGTTAGGCTAGCGATTACTGGCTGACAATGTAACTTCTTAGCGGCACTGATGTAGCTGCCTCAGAATGATGTCTGGTGACTGACGTCAGCATGATGGGGTCAATGGACGATACTGGGGATGCTTGGCTACAACATATGTCCATGATGGTGGACGCGTATATGTGCTCTTTTCCTTTGATGCTCTGGTTTTATTGGCTCTCAACATGATTTGACTTTGTCTTCGTGATGCTTAAGATGCAACAAGCAATTATTTTAAGTGTTTAAAATGTCTGGCACCAGCGCTTTTGTTGTTCTACAGAAAAAGAAAGTTACCTTTGAACATGTCCAGTTGTATAAATGAAGTAAGAGTTATCCTTCTTAGAAGAGTAAAAAAAAATATTTGCTCAAAATAACAGTTTATCCAGAGAAGGTATACTTTATTAGTATGAAATCATTTGACTTAATGTTAAATTGTATTTTCTGACATGGTCATTTTATCGATCATAGAACTTCCGCAATGATTACTCACAACGAGACTGTTGATATGACTTACCTCGTTTTAGAATTTTTTTTTTATCGAATCAATTGAGAAATATAAACCCCCTCCGCAGGTGATGAAGGTACGTATATTGCTGCATAAATAAGATAAGTTGACAATTGAAAAGTTAGTCATCACGTTTATCATAAAGCTTGGTTGTTAGATTACTATTAACGTTTTTTTGCAAGTAAAATATCTAAATAAGAAACAGATGTGTCAGACTCTGTGGTATCGTTTGTTTTGAGATCATCGGGGTATATAGTATATAAAAAAGGAAATAGACATTATTAATTGACAATAATACCTCGTCTATATATTTAAATGTCGAGTTGAAGGCTACAGCAAGTCTTTTCACGTACGCAGGTGATGAAGGTATATTGCTGCATAAGTAAGGGAAGTTCACTGTAGAAAAGTTAAAGTCATCACGTTTATCATAAATCTTGGTTGTTTGATTACCAATAACATCTTTTTCAAGTAATATATCCAAGTATGAAACAGATGTGTCAGACTCTGCGGTATCTTTTATCTCAAGTTCAACAGAATATATCGTATCAACATGTGTGTGTACAATCAGAATGTTTTTAACAAAATAAATTTGCAAATGACCAATGACAAGGTAAGTATAAATTTACGAGTTCCATTTTTATTGAAAAAGCAGCTGTCAATGATATCGAAAACCTGGACTCTAAATTATAGTGGGGGATGGTTGTGTATTAAGTTGAAAAGTCGTTAGTTTTTAAGTATTGATTTTGGTAAAATCTTATTATTTCAAATGGTCCAAAAATTCCTTGGAATTTTTAAGTATCCACATCTGATTTTCACTTCTTGAATATATTGTTGCACAGTACTCTTGGAGTTTCTCCTTCACTACTGTTAATATCTTAGTGAGGAGTAAAGAAAGAGGCTCGAAAAAACATTCACTGGGACCCGCTATATATCTTTGTTTGTAAGAATTTTTATGAAGATTCGGTAAGAATTTTTATGAAGATTCGGAATCAAATATATATATATATATATATATATATATATATATATATATATAGATATAGATATAGATATAGATATATAGATATTGTAGCTCAAAATCATTTTCATTCTCTGGGATAATAAAAATATATCTAAAACTTACATATGATTTTAAAGGATTTCCTCTTTAGAAAGGGAACAATGTGCATAAGTTGGACTACCACTTGTAGAATTAAATCCAAGTTCTTCTAAAAACAATTTACATAATTATCCTTACAGACAACGACAATGTTATTACCTGCTTTGTCAGCAGGGACCATTTCGTACTGATCATATAATCTATCTAATTCTTGTCCAATTCTGGATTATTGAATACAGAGGGATAGATGGTTTCATATTGCCCCTCAATCTTTAAAATCGTGATTTTAACATGGATCCATTCTGACAAAGTGTCAACGTCTTCTTTTTCATATCTGGCCCATTGTCTGGCGTAATCTTCATCAGAATACATAATATTTATGAAATTTCGACGCCAATCGAAAGATTGGGGTTCCCTATATTTATGACCTTTTAAAATAAGTGATCTAAGATCTACTGTTGATTTCCATAAGGTAAAAAAAAGAATGGAAAAAGACATCGTGTCATATGGACCGATGTCCATGACTAGGCTAACGTCTCTGTCTATTTTTAAAAGGTCCCATCACATTTAAATTGCTACATCGTGACTTGAAGTATTCCAAACACAATCGGCATTGTCATTGCTAATAAACGAAGAGACCGTGTCTAGCTTTCTAAAACAGCATTCTTCTCGTTATCTACGGAAAGTTGTATTCAATGACAGGAAATACAATAATTTTCTAGAATTCTATCTTTCCTTGACAAATATAAATAAATGCTTGTATAGAAACTCTTGTCAAACATGTCAAAAAATATTTTTTTTTTTTAAATAGTAAAAATGTCATAAATCATTCCTCTCGATCATATTGTATTATTACCGAATATATATGATGAATATAATGACGTTTCTGGGTTTGACTCTCTTTGGACCTTTGATGGACCCCCCCCTCTCCCCCCGATAGAAACGTTAACGCCATGTGTATCAAGAAAGAAACTCAATATGCTGATATTATTTTTTTTATTCTCAAAGGCCACTCGAACAAAAGCAAAATACACTCACTTCTTTGTAAATGGATAAGCAAATGTACAATTTCACTGATAACATACTGCATAAGTATCCAATGGTTCGTGCAGATCAGCTACAGCTGCCAGTCTTTGTGTTTATGCATAAACTCTTTGTTGAACACTCCATGCCATATGGTTTTCCAGTGATACACCAAACGTAAAATGGACATCCCATTGGATGATGCTCGAAATAAGTAGATGTTTTATTGGAACAAAAGTCAGCTATTAAAAGAAAACGGGTACAAATGTTAAAAAATGACCAAAAAAAATGCTTTTTATATAAGATATGTTGGGTTCACATGCATATTAAAAAATTAAAAAATAAAGATTTTCTAGGTTTTCATTTTTTAACAAATATTCAGTGGGTTTTCCGAACCTAAATTCAAATATAAATATAAGTGATATAACTGTAAAGAAGTAAAATATATGGAGATAAGCCCAAAGTGCATTAAAGAAAACAATAATAAAAGCAAAGCAAAAACGGACCTCCGAAACATCATTGCTGGGATGAGGTGTCATAGAGGAGTGAGCATCCCCTGTCGACTGGTCACACGCGCTGTGTACATTTTGTCATGATCGGAAAATAACGGGAGAATTCGTCGTCCATTCAGTGTGTAAATAATGGCCTAACAATTATATTTAAAAAGTCAGTCAGCTTTTGACTTCATGATAAGTTTTATTTGTGACAAGGATATTGTATCGACCATTAAACTTACTAAATGATGATTTTAAATGAAACTCCTGATATTCATGTTTCATCAACTTGTTTGCCAATAATTTACCTCGTTTCAGAAATTGTTCATACGTAGAGCATGCTCTTGCGTATCGAATCAATTGAGATATATATACTCTGCATGCAGATGATGAAGGTGTATTGCTGCAAACGTTAGGTTGAAGATTGAAAAATTAAAGTCATCACATTTATCAAAGAGCTTGGTTGTTCGATTACCATTAACGTCTTTTTCAAGTAAAATATCCAAGTATTAAACAGATGTGTCAGACTCTGTGATATCTTTTATCTCAAACTCACTAGGATATATCGTATGGACATAAGAATGGAAATTAATATTGTTTATTAAAATAAATCAAAATTAAAAGTACTTCACCTGCTAAACTAGATATAGTATATTCTTTAGAACTTGGAGGAATCTCAGTGCTGTTTAATGCCACAGCATTTAAGGCTATGCATCTTGCTGTCACATTGTTCCAACTATCAGACGATAGGTCAATTGAAAAATCCAAAGTTTGTATACTGCTGCAGTTCCCAACAACCTCAGAATAGATCCTCTCCTGGCCAGCTGGGTGATAAGTACTAAATTCTGTGTCACCGGGACGCTTGATCTCAATCTCAAGTTTCCCTGGTGGATGACCAACTTCTCCAGTACATGCATGACTCCTAAGATTTTCCCCCTCTATTAAGTTAGGATGAAATCTTAACTTCGGTGTTTCTGGTTTCACTACAATGCAAGACAGAAGTCGAATGTCAAAGAAATATTACGGTATTTATATTGTAAATAAACTTTCCTTGAAAAACATGGTCTTTTTTCCATGAATACTAGTTTAAAAGAATTTCTAATTAAAATTTTATTGAGTTGTTTCAAATTTAGTATGGTATTTTCAAAACAAATATTTTCTTAGATTATTTGCTTAATGTATTTCGCTGATGAAAAAAGAAATGTAAGTAAATAAAAATCACCTTTCAACGAAACAGTAAAGGATGTGATATATGATTCCGCTCGATCAAACTCCATCTTAACCGAATATAATCCATCATCTTCACAAGAAGTAGACTGAAAAATGATGTCCAAATTCAAGGAAGAAAGTGAAAAGACAGCAACAAGTCTTCCAGAATAAGGTGAGGAAACTGTCACAGTTCCGTCAGACTGGACGGATAGTAAGCTGGAGTTTGATTTTGATACGTTTAAGGATAGGATGTTCGAAATATTTAAGTGGCAACTGATGTGTGCTGATTGTTTCAGAAAGACGGACACCGATGCACATTCCAAATCTAAAATACATTTTATGCAGGTGTTAAAATGATTAAGGTATAAACATTCCCTAATACTCAGCCAATAAATTCTTGCTCAATTTTCCTTATGACTTGAGCAAATCTAGAAGCAAGAGATAAACAATATGCTTACACAGGTTTCCTTTCGTACCAGCAGTTGTAGGAAAAGTAGAAAATGGTGTAGTCAACACTGAAATAAGAAACGAATGTATAACGAAATCATCTGTGCTGTGCGTTGAGCAAATCAAATGTTAATTAATTGTTGAAAACCAACACCATATTGTTTTGCTTAGACGTTTGTAAAAGCCATTCCTTCAAATGGCTTTGGAATTTCATAAATATTATGGATTCTGTTGAAAAATACGCCAGACAATGGGCCAGATATAAAAAAAGAAATAGGTGTCACCCTGTCAGAATAGATTAAAGGTATCAGATCCATGTTAAAGTCGCGAATTAAAGACTGAGGGGCAATATGAAAACCATATATCCTTCTGTGTTCAATAATCCAGAAGTGAAAAAAGAATTAGATAGATTACATAATCAGTACGTACTGGTCCCTGCCCTCATGGTAACAACATTGTCTTCGATTGTAAGGACCATTATATAAATGGTATTTTAGAAAAACTCAGATTTAATTCTACAAATGGTAATCCTACTTTTACTTATACTTCCCTTTCTAAGGAAGAAATACTTTAAAATTATGTCAGTTTTAGATATTTTTAATATTCCACAGATCCAAAATGAATTTGAACTATCATATATATATATTGGATTCCGAAATTTCATAAAAATCCATACAAACAAAGATATATTGCGGGTTCCAGTAACCAAGCCTCTTTCGTTATTCCTCACTAAGATATTGACAGTAGTGAAGGAAACACTTCAAAAGTACTGCGCAACAATCTATTCAAGAAGTGGTGTGAATCAGATGTAGATACTAAAAAATTCTAAAGAACTTTTGGACAATTTTAAATCACAAGAATTTTCAAAAATCAACAGCTTAAAAACTTACGACTTTTCAACCTAAAATAAAACCATTCCCAACGATAAATTAAAGTCTAGGCTTTTTTATATCATTGACAGCTGCTTTTTCAATAAAAATTGAACTCGTAAATTCACTTATTTGGTCATTGGTCATTTGCAAAATTATTTTGCTAAAACAAATTCTGATTGCACACACAAATTAAAAACCTGAAATTGACATCAAAAAGATGCTTGAGTTTCTGATTGACTATCTATGTGGTTTTTGAAAACCAGGCATTCCAACAATATTTTGAAAACCCCATGGGTACCAATTGCGCTCCGTTATTTGCAGATTTATTTTTGTATTCATATGAAGAAGAATTCGTGCAAAATCTTATGCGTGAAAAGAAGAAAACACTTGCTGTGGCCTACAACTCGACATTTAGATATAAAGACGACGTATTGTCAATTAACAATGGTCAATTCCATTTCTACGTCGATACAATATATATTGTAGTGAGCTTAAGATAAAAGATACCACACAGTCTGACACATCTGTTTCATACTTGGATATTTTATTTGAAATAGACGTTAATGGTGATCTAACAACCAACCATATGATAAATGTGATGACTTTAACTTTTCTATCGTCAACTTCCCTTACTTATGCAGCAATATACCTTCATCAGCTGCATACGGAGTCTATATATCTCAGTTGATTTTATACGCAAGAGCTATGCTCTATGTATGAACAATTTCTAAAACGAGGAAAATTATTAATAAGCAAGTTGATGAAACAAGAAGTTCAACAGTCTCGTTTGAAATCATCATTTCGTAAATCGATACAATGACCTTGTCAGCAAATAAAATGTATCATTGAGACAAATGCTGACTTACGTTTTTCATACTTAATGTTAGTCAATTATTTGTTCACTGAATTGACGACGGACTTTCCGTTATTTCTCGATCATGACAAGGAGCACACGGCGGGTGTAACCGGTCAGCAGGGGATGCTCACTCCTCCGTGGCACCTGATCCCACCTCTGATGTTTCAGAGGTCCGTGTTTGCTCTGCTCCAATTTATGACAATACACCGTCGATATATCTAAATTTCGAGATGAAGGCAAATGATTTCTTCTCTTCAGGTATAAAATGTTGGACACTTTCTGTTTCATATGAATGCAAAATAGGTCTGCTTATAACGGAGTGCAATTGGAACCCATGAGCATTCCTATAAATTGTTGGAAGACCTTGTCTCCAAACACAGCATAGATGTTATCTATCAGAAACTCAAGCATCTTTTTACATGAGCTTCACAGTACTTTTGTGTACCATTGGAATGTTTCAACAAAATAATTTTGCAAATGAACTATGACGAGAGAAGTAAATTTACTAGTTTTGTTTTCATTTTTTAA